GGGGGATGTTCTGAAGATCACAGAAGTACTCAAGTTTCTCCACAATACACCAAAGGAAACTAGAAGCTCACTAGGTTCCTGCCAGGATCAACAAAGTGAGCCCCAAAATTAAAGACATGGCAAACCATTTCTTTGTGGAGTGGCTTTGCTGATCATGACTGAACTTCAATGAGCTCCTCCTTTCCTTTGGTATGGTGTGGAGGAACTTCAGTGGCTCGCTTAAGCCCGTGACACACTGCACACGAAGCCAAGCTGTCAGGCACGGACCTTTGCATGCAGTGTGAGAGCCGAGTGCAGGCAGATGACTGACAGCACCTTCGGCCAATCGGCTTGCGCATAACAACCGGCTGGACTTCGCATTAACAACCCGCTGGACTTCCCATCATGACGTGGGGGGGGGGGTTATACGCGCGAGCCAATTGGCTGAAGATGAAATTTTTCACCTCGGCACACTCAGCTATACGAGCTTTCACAAGCCCACGTGCCGGAGAGAAAATTACATGACACACTGCACGCGTAGGCAGCACGCCACCGCTCCACGTGCAGTGTGTCAATGCCTTTAGAGCTCTGCAAGCTATGCAAACAAAGCATCTCTACTTTTAGGTTAGTTGGAATTATGTAAGGCTGTATAGCAGTGTGCAGAGGGTTGATTGAGACTCCTAGAACTCTTTATTTAAAGATTTTAAAAATAGCAACCGTTCACATGCGTCAGACCCCCTGCACAGGGGACGGCAGACCCCCTGCACAGAAGCGGCACAGGGGACGGCAGACCCCCTGCACAGAAGCGGCACAGTGGACGTCAGACCCCCTGCACAGAGGACGGCACAGGGGAAGTCAGACCCCCTGCACAGAGGACGGCACAGTGGACGTCAGACCCCCTGCACAGAGGACGGCACAGCGGACGTCAGACCCCCTGCACAGGAGGCGGCACAGTGGACGGCAGACCCCCGGCACAGGAGGCGGCACAGTGGACGGCAGACCCCCGGCACATAGGACGGCAGACCCCCTGCACCGGAGGCGGCACAGTTGATACCTTCTCAGTGACGGCAGCGTTGAGTTCGTTCTGCAGCTGACTTTGCTGTTGCTGCCACCCAGCCATAGACTGTTCGTGCTCCTCCATGGTCTCATTAAGGGCATCCTGCAGTTGTGCCAAGCGGCTGGATAGGTCCCGGACCTGGAAAGAGAAATGCGGTCAGCCTAAAGCACGCAAAGCATCTCGCCAACAAACATGATATAAAAGTTGTGATATTTCCACCATCTCGGTCCCTCCATAAGAAAAGTTGCTGACTAGTCATTTCAAGCTTTTGCCAGTCCCCCCCAACTCTTCTGTATTCTCAGCAGACACCAAAGCCGGACCTTTCATTGAGTTTTCACTCTCGTGTCTTCTCTCCTTTTCTGCCCACAGGAGGTGGGTAATGCTTCTAGTGTCCACGTCACTCTGGCTGCGTGACGTGGACCATTCCTACTGGCTGTCCCACTCAGGATCCAGAAGAGGAGCGATGTCAGCACGAGGGGTCTGTCGGGGAGCAGCCAGTGCGCACATTTTTGCAGTGCTGGATTAGCGCTACCCTACATCCGGACACAATAAAAGGAGAACTATGAGGAGAGTGATTTTCACTCAGCCTCATAGTTCGAGCCGGCGTGTGATAATGAGACTCTCACAGGCCAGCTCAGTAGATCGGGAACACATACCATCACTCGCTCACTTCTCGATCTATCCCTGAAGAGAGCCGTGACCATCACTCACGGCTGCCTGCAGGGATTCCCCCCTCCCCTGTCCTCCAGCGCTGACTGGCGGAACGGACGGTGGAGGGGGCGGGTACAGCTGGCTCTGCTTCTAGATTGACAGCTGGCTCTGCCTATCACACAGCTGGGTGGATCTCGACAGTAATGTCGGGATCCGTCCCGGCTGCAGAGGTCTCGGTATATAGTAAGCTGTAGCTCCCCATATACTGAGCTTTGGGTGACGGGAGGACGCTAGTTTGTGTGTCCCCGTGACCCTGAGGAGAACTATGGGGGAAAACACTTACTCCATAGTTCTCCTTTAACAGTAAAAGGACCCGGATGGGTATATCTTGCTTCACAGGGTGCTCCCTTCCTCACCAGCCTGGGAAGCAGACCGTGAAAAGACTCGGATGTTCCTCATCAGGGCCACCCACAGGGGGGGTACAAGCACTACTCTTGTACCAGAAGAGGCCACATCTGGGCAGAGCTATTCCGGCAGGGTGCAAGACAACAGTGCAGCATCAGTCTAAATCTCTCCTCCCCTTTACTCTCCCCACTTCCTCCGAGCAAACCCCCGCCCTCATCCACAATCGCTTGGCAATGGAGAAGAGGGAGGGACATAGATGCTGTGAATTGTGCTACTGAATGCTTCAGAATAATCCCTGGTGGATTATGGGGCACGATTTTGGGGCAAGAGCAGAAGGCAGCACACCCTCATGTATTCACAGGACACTGGAGAGGTGACATTGTTTTCCGGGGAGGGAGCCCCAGGCAAGGACTGCTCTAAGCAGAGGTAGCTTTCAGTACTTGGAGCAGCCATCTGCAGTTTATGAGGAGACACAAGGTATAGGGGGGGTGCTCAAAGTCTCTAAAG